CCTGGGTCCAGACTCCAGTTCATATAGAGTCCCTGGTCCCATTGCTGTTACGTGACACTTATTGGATTTGGAAAGGGCGACCCCACAATGGGTTCATATAGCCACTCTTACACACCTGCACCAACGTTTCCCGAAGTGTCCCTTTGATAAGTGGCACTTTGGCAAAGTGACACTTGCCGACTGGCCTTTCTATATGAACTGGGCCCGGCCCTGGTGAGTTGCCGGGGCTGAGCCCGACCAAAGGATAGGCCGAGCACTGAGCAGCCCCCAAGCACTCACCGCACCCGGCTACGGGCGAGCTCGGCTTACGGGCAATCCCAAATGGGATAAAGTTTCCCGTCCAGTCTGGATCAGGGGGTTGCGGCGTGGAGGAAGATTTGAGTTTCCTGAGGACATTTTGAATACAGAAGCTCTTTATGAAACTTGAAACATTTATTTTATATTATTATAACGGTCAAAACAGCGGCCGACGTCGGTCCGACGTCGCCCCGACGTCGGCCCGACGTCGGCTGGACCTCAGCAATTGATCTCGGTCCGACGTCGGCCCGACGTCGGCTGGACCTCGGCTGGACGTCGGAACATGCGGGCATATACGACATCCAGCCGACGTCGTGCCGAGGTTGGACCGACGTCGGGCCGACGTCGGCATGCTGATGCCGAGTTGCCGATGTCACCCCGACGTCGGCCGACGTCGGGCCGACGTCGGCATGTTTACTGGGTCATACTCAGAAATTTCCGTTATTCTACGTACCAGTATAACGCCTTTTGGGGCGACTAACGGAGCGAGCGAGAGGGTGGGCCTTGCACGTGCGAAATTGCGAGGGGGTACCTCCAACTGACTTGTGCACGGCACCCTACTAACTGGTCTCTAGCGATGTGCCAAATTTGGGCACAATCGGCCCAGCCGTTCTCGAGATCTGGAAGCGGCACCCTGCACGTGCGCACGTGCAAAATGGGTCCCAACTGACTTGTGCACGGCACCCTACTAACCGGTCCCTAACCGTGTACCAAATTTGAGCGCAATCGGTCCAGCCGTTCCCGAGATCTGGAAACGACCCCTGCACGTGCGCACGTGCAGCAGCACCCCAACTCTGGCACATGTATATGCAGTGCCTAGTGGGTGCCTACCTACATGCCAACTTTCAGCGCAATCGGCCAAGTAGTTACCGAGATATTGCAACAATTACAAAACTGACACCTCTTCGTTTTGCACGTGGCACGTGCATAAGGGGTCACCCACATGCATCGGGAATAGTCCAATACTTGGTAGAAGGAATGAAGCTACCCTACAAAAATTACCGCGTGTAAATCGGTCAAGTGGTTGCTGAGATATAAGCCTCGCAAAAGCGTGACCACGGCCGGCCGGCCGGCCGGCCGGCCGCTCATACTCAGAAATTTCCGTTAATCTAAGGAAAGACTACGCTCGCTTCGCTCGCTCCGTAACCAGTATAACGCCTTTTGGGGCGACTAACGGAGCGAGCGAGAGGGTGGGCCTTGCACGTGCGAAATTACGAGGGGGTACCTCCAACTGACTTGTGCACGGCACCCTACTAACCGGTCTCTAGCGATGTGCCAAATTTGGGCACAATCGGCCCAGCCGTTCTCGAGATCTGGAAGCGGCACCCTGCACGTGCGCACGTGCAAAATGGGTCCCAACTGACTTGTGCACGGCACCCTACTAACCGGTCCCTAACTGTGTACCAAATTTGAGCGCAATCGGTCGAGCCGTTCTCGAGATCTGGAAACGACCCCTGCACGTGCGCACGTGCAGCAGCATCCCAACTCTGGCACATGGATATGCAGTGCCTAGTGGGTGCCTACCTACATGCCAACTTTCAGCGCAATCGGCCAAGTAGTTACCGAGATATTGCAACAATTACCAAACTGACACCTCTTCGTTTTGCACGTGGCACGTGCATAAGGGGTCACCCACATGCATCGGGAATAGTCCAATACTTGGTAGAAGGAATGAAGCTACCCTACAAAATTTACCGCATGTAAATCGGTCAAGTGGTTGCTGAGATATAAGCCTCGCAAAAGCGTGACCACGGCCGGCCGGCCGGCCGGCCGCTCATACTCAGAAATTTCCGTTAATCTAAGGAAAGACTACGCTCGCTTCGCTCGCTCCGTAATTACCTTAGTCTATGACCTTGACCCCGATTTTTTAATGTGTTTTAGTAGGCAATGAGACGAAGACGATGAGACAAAGATTTTACAGGGTACGAAGCATTTTGACCTCTCATAGTCAAACGGTTTGACCTTAAAAATTAGCTGTCGAATTTCCTAACTCAGTCTGCCAAGGTCATCTGTCTTCTAATTCGAAGCCTGTGTTCGGACGTGCCGGTTTTTTGCGTGGAATTTCCACGCTGAGGAATTCCTCACGAAAACAGCCGTTTAGGCATTTCAAAACGCGAGAGATCAAACGAAATCCCGCGAAACCGGCATGCCCGAACGGCCATTTTCGTGAGGAATTCCTCGGCATGGAAATTCCACGCGAAAAACGGCACATTCAAAGGCACGGTAACAAAAGCAATTACTGAAATTTAAATCCAAATTTGTTACTTGTAAATGACCTTGACCTTGATCTATGACATTGACCTCATTTTTATGTGTTACCAGTAGGCAATGAGGCAAATACACTGGTTGCTGATGTTTTTTTTCAATTGGTCCCAAAATAAAGGTTGTGTAGGGTAGGCACGACGACTTTTCAAATGACCTTGACTTTAACCTATTATCTTGAGCTGGATTTTTTTTCAATTTGCTTTTTTAGGCAATGAGGCAAACACACTGATGGCTGACTTTTCAAAACGGTCAAAACGGTCCAAAATGTTGATTTTGTAGGGTCCAGCGTCTTCTGAAATGACCTTGAACTACGACCTTGACCTCATTTTGAAAGTGCTTCTGGTAAGCAATGAGACGAACACGCTAGTGGTTTTAATTTGAAATAGTTCCATGAACAAAGATGGAATAGGGTAAACAACAATTTGACATCTTAAGGTCAAGTGGTTTGACCTTGAAAAAAACTGTTGTGATTTTCGAAATCAGCAAGCAAAGGGCTGTCTGATAATGATTACCAATTTGGAACGAAATCATTACTCGAAGTTCGATCCGAATACGAATACGACGATGCTCTTTATGGACATCTTGACATTTACCCCGTCTGGGGCGGAAAAAAACGGAAAAAAACGGATATGACATCTGTTTTTACACAAGTTTGGCCGTCATCGTATTTTTTCGTCCAGAAGCGTCGAACCTCGAACGAATAGATACAACATGACCATTGACCGTAGACGGTCAACTTGAAAATCTGGCCGTAGGTTTTTCACACCCAGGTCGTTCAAGGTCAGGTTAACAGGTCACGTCAAGTAGCCTAATCTCAAGAAACGAACATGTAATGATTACCTCGGCTACCATGACTGCAAGCGACTGCCTTGAAACCTTCAGCGATTAATAAAGGGATGACATGACATATGAAGCGTACAACACGGAACTTCGGTATTGGTGACGTGAGGTCAAATCAGCTAAACGACATCTCAATCGAAATTCAATGAGAGAAAATGGAAGTGCGCCTGTTTTGGACGAGGGTCAGTTAGAAGCTTTGTTTCATGTGAATGTTCGACATGAAACGAAATTTTAATGTTAAAACTTAAGTCAAACAAACCTTGCCTATAGAATGATGATATACTTTTCACAGGCATTGCCTCGAATGGTACTTACATATTGATATAGGCTGTGCCGCATCACACAGGCACGACACAGCTGAACCCAACGGCCAACGCTCACCATAGACATTATTGATGGTGCCATAGACACAATTAAACACCATAAATTTTGAAAAAAATACACAGTACAATATTCTGGTCATGTCATAGATTGCGATGAGTGGAATAACGCTGCATGCGTGGTCAATTGTACCCGCTTAGTTACATGTAAAGCCTATATGAGTTAAAATTTCATGGATTTGTTCTGAATGACAAAAAGGTCGCCACACAAACACATGTTTAGAAAAAAGACGATATTATGAGCTCCTGGCGCCCTTTGCTGCGCCTGTCAGCCGAGCGGCGGGCCGGGTTCCGATCACTGGACGGGTGGCCAGTTTACGCCACTGTCATTGGAAGCGGTGCGGTCCGGTGCGAACCGGGTCGGATCCTGCCGGCCTCGCGGGACGCCAGCAGAGCAGACGAGTGCGTCGGGTCGCCGAGCCGGCTCCAGTCGCCGTCGGCGAGGGCAACTGCGAGGGTGTGACCGCACGGTCCCCCTGTATCTGTCTGTCGGAGGTAGGTTCAGCGATAGTGGTCACCGAGTTGGGCGTTGGTGAGTCTGGGTGTACAGGCGTCAGCAAAAAGTCATGGCCATTCTCATTTCCGGATGGTGATTAGAAAATGTTTGCGAATAGAGCCCGAACTTTCGCTTTTTTCGCGTCAAACATTATTGGCAGTCGCAGCCGATCGCAAAAAAAGATGGGGCCAAAATCATAAAAGCGGGACCCAGCATTTTATCCCTCGCTGTGTGGTTGGGGGTCAGCGAAGGTTTTTCTATGCATCGAAAACCAGCGCGAAGCGTCACGAAAGTTGACATAGCTCATTACATCAATTTTACGTCTCATTACCGTGTAAAAATTTTAACCCCAGTATGCATGCAAACTCACCAGTTCACAAGCAAAAAATGTGAGGCTGCCTTTAATAAATGAAATTTACTTTATCTGATGCATGGCTCCACCTTTCTAGACCAAAGGTGAGGTAGGTAATGGCCCCTATTTCCCCCCTACACTCGGGCCGCCTATGTCAAACACACTTAAACTTTATTATTTTTCAGCTCCACGATTAGAGCTATTTCGCCTTCACATTTTTGCTATCAGCATCAATTTTGCAGTCGTTCTCAACTTCTGCAACACTTGAGATGAGTTGCTCTTATCGTTTCACTTGGTTAGGTATGCCTTTTCTGTTTTATTCTCACGCATCTGTAAATTACCCAGCCAGCGCCCCCGCCTTGTGTCTCAGATGGCGCCCCGGATGCCCGGCGTGGCGCGCTGGGCGCTGGCGCTGGCGCTGCTGGTCTACTGCTCGCCAGCGGTGGCCGGGGAGCTGCTCGACCTCACCCACACGCTCGACAACACGACACTCTACTGGAACGAGAAGGACTCCTTCACGCTGACCAGAGTGGAGCAGCCCGCTAATCGTCCTTTCTGGTAAGCTTATTACCGTGAATGCACAACCATAGTTGCCGATTGGGTTGATTGATGTGAACCAATTGAACATGCGTCACCACAACATTGTCCCATATTACCACTCAAACTCACCCTAGATCCCATAATGCAACAGAAGCCAACATCTCGTGGAAATCACCCCAGACCATTTTCAGTAATCAGCTTATTGTGAAGTACCTTCAACGCTGCACATAAAGATAACCAAGCAATGGTTTACGTAGTTATCCGTATACTCGTAAGGCTTGATATCTTATTCTGGCCTACTTGAATGACTTTAGCATGTATGACATAACCAAACATGTGCTTGCAACGAGAGATCATATTTATGGGGACATTATAATTGTCCATATTAGGTAGGCATACAAACGAAATGGTTGAAGTAGAACGACACAAAGAAAAATGTTCACCGTTTCCCTATGCTGTGCAGCCAAGTGCCAACGTTCGCATTAGGTCAACGATTTAGTACTTTTTATAATTCCAAACAATAGTCACAATAGGTACGTGAATTTTAGCATTTCATTTAGAGCGCGGCGTTGTGCATGAGTGCAATATTTCCAGTCACCATGCGCCTCAGTCTATATGAAGGCCATTTTGTGACTGACTGCAGGAGCCAGAAGTTCAAGATTGAGACCGTGGAGCACGCCGGTACTCATATGGACGCTCCGTCTCACTTCTATGAGCAGGGATGGACGATAGCAGACATCCCGGTGGAGCGCCTAATCGCCAACGGTGAGACTATAGGCAGCACTCGCCGGTATACGACGCCTTCCAGTCGGCTGACCATCTGACGAGAGGACCACCGTCACCTTGTGTAGTCCACGACGACTTGTCATGACCTAAGAGTTACTGATGGATGAACACATCATAACGTAAATTTTGTAGCGCCACTGGGCCATTGTCTGTAGAAAAGTTCAGGTGTTTGCTGCCTAACTCGACCTGTGACTCCGCCGCAGCGGCTGTGATCGACATCAGCGAGAGGAGCGCCGCCAACCCGGACGCCATGGTCACCCCTGAGGACCTGGACGCCTGGAGGGACGCCCACGGCCAGTTCAAGTACCCCACCATCGTGCTAATTAGGACGGGCTACGCGGCCTACTGGCCCGACCGCAACCGCTACTTCGGCCTGAGCGACGCCGAGCCCGGCGTCTACCACTTCCCCGGTGAGCGAGATCGGTCATTTTTAGTCATATGTAGACATATGTAGATGGTGTTCGACATTTAAAATAAGACAATCGCCGCATTTATTTTCTATCGCTGGGCCATCGAAACTTCAGCTAACTTGTTTCCACTGAATGTCACCGTAAAACGTGTTCACGTTTGACGCGCTGTGCGATCGTGCGGGCAGGTTTTGGCGAGGCGGCGGGTCAGGACCTGGCCGAGGACCCGGCCGTGGTCGGAGTTGGTATCGACACCGCCTCGCTGGACCAGGGCGTCAGCCGCACGCTGCCCGTGCACGCGGTGCTCTCCAGAGCGAACCGGTTCGGTATGGAGAACGTCGGCGACTTGAGCCGAGTGCCGGCCTCCGGAGCCAGGTCAGCGCCGCTATGTAAACACGGTGTGGGGTTCCTCAGGCGGGCCGTCAACTGCAACTGGTTAGCTGCGCCCTAACTGATAACAACGAGTCCGTTTATTCCTATGTTGCTTAAGATTGATAATTACAAGCGTAATTTGTATGTCTAAACATACCAAAATCCGGTACTGGGTTGAGCAAACGCAAATCATTTACCCTACCGATAACGTGCCCAGACACATATGCGGGGTTTTGAATTTGTTCGATGTCTTACCCATGTTCTTTTCTGCCGACAGAATCTACGCTCTGCCGATGAAGACCGGAGGCGGCAGTGGCGGCCCGTGTCGAGTGGTGATCGAGCTCGAGCCGTCCACCTGTCGTGGCAAGGGGCGCGGTCAGAAGGGCAGGGGCCGCGGTCAGAAGGGTAGGGGCCGCGGTCAGGGGGGCCGCCGCGGTCAGGGTCGGGACCAGGGTCAGGAGGGTGGCCGCCGTCAGGGTCAGGATCAGGGGCAGGAGGGTCGCCGGCAGAGACAGGGCCGTCGCCAGGGTCGGCGGCGGCAGCAGGAGCAGCACGCTCACGAGGAGCTCCCGGTGCCCGGCTTCGAGTAGGCCCTATGAGGAGTTCTGCCCTAACGCGAAGCCTCGTCGTCCTCCCGAGCTGACTTTGCGACTGTTTGTAACGACTCAGAGACCTGTGGTGACGGCTTAGACATCGGTGGTGACGGCTTATACACCAGTGGTGACGGCTTAGAAAACGGTGGTGGCAGACGCTATGCGGCCAGACAGTTTCATCTATCAGACATAGTTGCGGTGACAAATATCAATGGCGCCCAGGGAACTTGGCAAATAAACTGGATTTGATTGCGGATGCTGACATCGATACTTATGTGTAGATTACTTGACGCATACGTGGTGATTTGAAGCATGTTCATTATTCACGGCTATGGAGCTGGTGCAACGACTGTTTTCACAATATGATTCGTTGATTTACGCTACAAAAGTACAACAGAGGTCATTCACCATGTGTTGCAATACCACCATGATGTGTGCCAATAAAGTGTTAAATAAACTGCGTCAAGCCAACGCGACGTCTGATGCTTTTTTACACGGAGGCGTTTGCAAAATATTCGTCAGGGCTAGGAAAACGTATAGCCAGCGACTGTTACTTATCACTTGTAGAAGCTCTGAAAAAAAAGAAGGGCGAGGAGGGGAAGATCGATTGATGCTCGGGTATGCACAAGTGATTTTATAAGATACTTACGGTAATGCTACCGTGGGGGAAACAAAATGGTCGAGTTTACTGATTCGAAAGGCGCTACTACGCAGTTTCCATGAAGTCAGACGGTGGAGTATTTGTAAGACATACACGTAGGTAAGACACAATATTTATCACACAGAACTGCGAAAGTCGGACCATGATTTTGGCAAACAGCGTATCATCTGTTTACTTTAACTCTGGCGTGTGCACACACTAGCCATGCTTAAACACACTAAGGACTTCCGTGTTTATATAACGCGCGATGTGTTGCTCAGCAGGGTCTCTATGAGCGCCCACATGTGTGAAAACAGGAGGATCTGTGCTGTGGTATTGCTCGTTTTAATACAATAATAAATTCGTATAGGTCGCATTTATTTCAAATTTATTCCATGTTATTTTTGAGAAAACATTGTTTCAATTTGAACCGGTTTATATTGCGCAGGGTATATTTTTGTTTAATGGCATTGTACTGTACCAGTGCGTATTGAAATAGGTTCCGATCCATCACGAATGGTGACCGGCTATATTCACTTCTCGTGCATCGTAAAATACTCCCAACTACCTGCTACGAAATCAGCAGGATCAACAGGCCTATTTGAAGCTGCAGTACTGTCAAGCCTTTCACAAAGCTAATGTGTAAATATCAATTATGTACGCATAAATAAAAAGATCTGATAGTAGGTAGACAGGAAACAGGCGCATGGCTGAAATGAAGATATAAAAGCGTTGCTGCAAACGATGGCAATGGCGCCTATTTTGAAAACAATGCCTGGCAAAGTTTCAGCGCTGGGCCGAAAGAAAGGCCCCAAAAAGGGCAAAGCTGGCTCCAGCAGACGAGGAAAGGGGACAAAGTCTACCAAGTCCAAGAGCTCCGGATCCGGCAAGAAGAAAAAGAAGGGCAAAAAAGGTAAACGCAAAAAGGGCAAAAAGCGGAAGATGATTTCACCAGAAGAATATGCCGAAATGGAGCAGCAGCTGAAGAGCTGTCAGAGAACCAACGAACTGCTCACCATCAAATTGACAGCGATGGCACATTCTCGTGAACAATACCGTAAGTGCTCTTTCAGTCTGTTGGATGAGAATGAACACGTACACAAGCGTCTTATCAAGGTGGAAAGAGACTGCATTGAAGTTGTGGGATACCTTCGGCAAAAGAGAGGCGCCAATGAGGCTAGACTGGAGGTGGTTGAAAAGGAACTTGCTCAAATCAGGGAAGTCGAAAGCGGTAAGCGAAACACTCTGGCAGCAGAGTATGAATACAAGATCAAAGGCCTCAACGAAATCATTTCAGAAAACGAAATTCAAATATTGAGACTCGAATACGAGACCAACAAGCTGAAGGGGTTGAAGGAGGCGAACGAGAAGCTAGAAGAAACGAACGAGTCCCTGCGGAAGGAGCTGCTGGACACAATGGTGCGCCACCAGAACCAGCTGGTCGAGTACGAGGCCATGATCCTCCGCGAGAAGCGCAACCTGGAGAAGCTGGCGCGCCAGGAGGTGCACAACCTGGTGGACACAGCTCACCAGATGGCCGCCAAAGAGATCAGCGCCACCACTGCGGACGTCTACGGGCAGAACTACTGCCTGAACCGGACGCTGCAGCAGTACCAGGCGCGGGTGCTAGCCCTGGAGGCCGCCGACGCCACGCGCAGCCGCCAGCTGGACCGCGCGCGCACGCACGCCGAGACCAGCTCGGCTGCGCTGCTGCAGATGCGCCGCCAGCTGACTGCGCAGCAGGTGGCGACGCAGCAGCTGCGCGAGCGGCTGGCCGAGTCCGAGTCGGACCGGCTGCAGGAGGCCGTCACACTGCAGGAGGTGCGCGCCGAGCTGCTCGACTGGGCGCAGCACGAGCGCCAGCAGGAGCAGCGCCAGCTGGCGCAGCTGCGCCGACAGCTCGCGCTGCGAGAGGCCACCGTTCGGCGGCTGCGCGCGCTGGCACGCCGCGTCCTGGCGCGCCGCTCTCAGCTGGAGGACTTCTTCCTGTCGGCGCTGGAGCAGGTGGCGGGCGCGGCGGCCGGGGAGCGGCGCCAGTTCTGGCGGGACGCCGAGCACCAGTACCGGCAGCGGATGGCGGCCGGGCTGGCCGGCCAGGCGCCGCCGCCTGAGGTGATGACCACCGACGGCAGCCAGAAGTCGTCGCGCGACATCGTGCACGACTGGCAGCGGCACAACGAGTGGCGCGCCGACGCCGACCAGGTGGATGTGTCGGCGCTCACCTGGCTCCAGAAGGAGAGCGTCCTGCGGGTGCTCTTCGCACACATCAACGGCGCGCAGAGCCGAGCGCGCCGCCAGCAGCAGCAGCAGAAGAAGGGTCGCTGGCCGAGGAAGAGGACCGTGGACGTGGGCGTGCAGAAGTTCGCGCAGAGGAGGAGCACCAGCGGAGACACCTCCAGCGCGTACCCGCTGCTCAGCCCCTATCTGGATAAGTCGGTGCAAATGCTTGGTTTGTGACAGCTGTAGCTGCTTGGGTGTTCGATAGCTCATGAAATCGTGTGTGCGTTGGTAAAGCACTTTGATCCGCTGTCGGCTGAGTTCCTGGGTAGTGAAGTGTTTTTTATGCTAATGATGATGTGTGTCCAACGACCAACCGCCTACTGACATGCAGAAATAATAGCAAGCATGCGTACCTATTTTTGCATATTCCAGTCAAATATGAAGGACGCCCAGCGGCCAGCAAAACAACTACAACAAAACCAACAACCAAACAAAAAAAGGATGCTCGAGAGCTTGACTTTCGTTTAAAAGGAGCACAGTCTCATTTTCACCAATTGACTTATGATGACAAGTAAATACGGAGGTCGCAAAATTGCCCTGGCCATATGATAACCGATAACAAATGAGATCTATCCAGCATCTATCTTTGTCACATTCTGTCATCCCCTAAGGCCTGGCTACACTATGCGTCTTCTGCTTGCTTTTTTTGCGGGTTTGCTTTTTTTGCGTATACCGTTCTAGAAAAAGTTGTAAACAATAGGTATAAATTTTACATAAGTTATAACAAAAGCTCAAATAACTCCTAAAACTTAAGTTTAACCCGGCACCGCCTGGGCTATTACCGTACCCACGACAGCCTGGGGGGGGGGGGTCGGATCCGACCCCCCCCCTGTTTTCTCGAGAACCAATGGTCGCATCGAGCCCCGCGAGGCGGCGTTCGGAAGGTCTCTACGAGACCTTCCCAAAGCACTCTTAAGATTTTAAGATTGAGGTCAACTTTCGGGTCAAGGTCAGGTCAAAGGTCAAATTCTGGGGTTTTGCATGATTGGGCTTACGGACAGCGGAATCGATAGCTGCTGCTCGAAACTCACCAAAAATGACCTCAAAGACCTAGTGAAGGTACCATGTACGTATAGGGGTCATACTAAGTACGGGTCAAGGTCAGGTCAGGTCACGAAAGGAAAGGTCACAGTTTTCACTTTCTACTACATGGGCGTGCGACACATGTTTTATGGCTTATTTTCACGCCGAATCCGATGGTAATGGTTATATGTGACCCCAAGTCACTGTGCTGGTGATAAGTGTGCATTGAAAGAATAAAAATCGTTTATACCATACATAACTAAACGAGGGCTAAGAAAAAGGGCCAATTTTTCAACTTTTTATTTTTGACATAAAATGCACTTTTCTAGACGAGCTTTGTCTCAGGAATCTAGTGGTGCCATTTGTTTTCACATGCGATGTTCAGAAGTGCCTCTAATTCACGAAAATGCTTATGACGTCACCATGCCCTATGCATCTTGGAGCTATTTTTTTACAATTTGGGGGTCAAAAATCAAGATAGAAAGTTGAAATTTGGCCTTTGGGACATCTTATGTCCTAATACAGCTTTATAACATATATTCCGGTTTTTCGGAAATTCTCAAAATTTTGGATTTTATTAGCTGTTTTCCAAAAAATATAATTTTTTGAATTTTAAGGGGTAAAAAACGCATTTTATGGAAAATCCCAGATAGCCATTTTAAAGAACTTGTTGAGCGGCGTCTATCCCTGTCCTTAATTTGCAATTTGCTTTAAACCCTGATTTTTGGCGATTTTTTAAACATTTACCACTTTTTGACTGAAACGCCATGTAGTTAGGGGAGAGTGGGGCAATGGCGGACGGTGGGTAATGCCGGCCACCCATCTCTAGTGAGTACTTTGTCCATCACTAATCAGCTGATATTGTTTACATTTCAGTTGAGCGCCATTCTAGCACGTGGTGCAAGTTTTTCACGGTAGCTCCATTATTTTCATTTTTATAGCGTTAAATGTGTTTTTCGTATCTGATTTTTAATTTTTGTTGCATCTATTTGCTGACTGTGAAATGTGTCAACGCATTTTCAGAAGTGCTGCTTTGCAATGACCTTCAATTAAGCCTTTCTTAGGCGACTGCTGGATGTGAGGCGTTTGCGGCGCAATGCCTTTGACTGCTACCTGCTTTCTTAAAATAAAGCTGACCTCGGGGTAATACCGGACACGTGTCCGGAATGACTCCACGTGGTTTTGTTTGCGACTTCCGTCGTTAAAGCTCAACGTTTCGGGTTGCTGTGTTTACGGCTGTGTTAGTTTGCTTGCTGTGTTTACGGTTGTGTTAGTTTGCTGCTCTGTTGGTGCCGCGCTGTTGTGTTGCAGCGAGTGCAGTGTTGTGTTGCAGTGCAGTGTACTGTTAACTGCTGAATACAGTTGTCGTTTCTTAATTCTCACTTAAATTTCCATCAAAAGAACGGTTTAAGGATGAATACCAGCGACGATATTTCGATTTTTTGTGCTATTGCACTTAGTGACCGGCATTAGGTACCCCTCGCTTTTTTGCACCTCCATTTTTCACCACATTTTCGCGTAGGCTCTGAATCTGTCATCAGTGATCTGAGATACTAAAACTGGGTGCTATCTGAAAGCCTATTCCTTTGGCTATAACCACAGTCAAAATCACCATAAAATAGCTTCAAATAGCTAAGCTATTGAGCAAAATGCTTATGGTGTCGCCATTGCCCCACTCTCCCCTACATCACTAAAATCGATATATCTGAAAAATTGGGAATTTTTTCTTAAAAATTACACAGGAGACGTCAAAATGATGGGGGAGAAGGTATGCCAAGTTTCAAGTTGATAGCGTAAGCGGTTCATGAGTTATTCAAGAAAAACGGAGGGGGGGGGGGGGTCGGATCCGACCGGTTTTTATATAAAAACATCACAAAAACGTAATATCGTTATTGTTTATAGGTTAGGTTAAGTTACAATATTACGCAAAACCCGCAAACCCGCAAAACACGCACGCAGAAAACGCATAGTGTAAAAAAACGCGTAGTGTAGCCAGGCCCTTATCAATCGTTAAAAGTTTGAAAGTAATTTTTCAGTCACTGTAGCCACTAGTTAGGCAAAATATCTTAATTTATCTAGGACTATGTATTTAGGCGAGGTTCTTTTACGTGACCCTGTGACCCGAACTTTGATGGTTTAGTGCTGACATTGTACAGCCTGTGCGGAATTATTAATTAACTACAATAATTGGTAGAATACCTTAAATTGGGTGCCAACAAAAGCGGCCTAACCTATAACGCCAAAAAACATACCTACCTTCCAAAGCAAGATGGCGGCGTGACTATTACGTCCACACTTTACTTACAGATTGAGATGACGCTTTATTCGTTTCAGCCAGTACCCAGCCTGCCCCGCACGCCAACCCGCGAACAGATCCTATCTCCAGCTCTGCCGCATGACACATGTTGGCTGCAGCATAATCACTCTGGCAACAGATGGTCGCTGCACTCCGAATCGTATTACCCGAGCGCCTCGGTGACCCGACCCGAGACCGTAGTTCGCCGTGATCTGACCCATGTGTAGCGGTGTGGGTACGCCCGTGACCGTGCCAAGTCCGGCAACAGATGGTATGGGTTCGTTACGACAGTGCACGCACCATGCACTGGTATGGGCGAATGCTCCATGCGAGTAAGGCAGAATTAGGTCAAGGAAGAGGTCAGTGAAGATAACGTACCAGCGTGTCTTTGTCTTGGAATTCGAATAAAGTAAGTTGGAATTTGGGAAGCTGCCGAATTCGTAATGTATATGTTCTCTAGCAAAGACCAAAATCGAACGAGCCCAGCGCCGAGCGACCAAGCTGGTCTAGGAAGTACGTCACCTACCGTACCAGGAAAGACTGAAGTCCATGAAGCTGCCTTCCCTCCACTACCGACGTCGACGCGGCGACATGATCGCTGTCTACAATGTGCTGCTCGGGAGACTGGACCTGAATCCGGAGGAGTTCTTCAACCGAGTAACGACCAGAGATACAAGAGGACACTCCTGGCGTGTTGCGAAGCCTCATGCCGTCACCCGTATCCGTCGAAACGCGTTCGCAGTCAGAGTCATTAACCCGGCAGTTGCTGGGGTATTTCGCCACCCGCCGTTTGCTGGGGGGGGGGGGGGGGCGTTAAACGCCCCCAGACGATAACTCGAGAACCAATAGGCGCAGCGAAACGCACGAGGCGGCAAACGAAAGAGCGCGACGAGACGCTTCAGATGAGTACTTTCAAGTTGAATTTTGAGGTCACAGGTCGGGTCAAGGTCAGGTCAAACACCTGAAATCGGGCTTTCAGTAGCATGGACTTCAGGACTTCGCAATGGGCGCCTCTCGTCATAAACTCTGTCAAAATGGTGCACAATCCATCATATAAGGCCTACATGAGTGTCAGCTCCATGTAGGGGTCAGTCAAGCATAGGTCAAGGTCAGGTCAACCGGGTAGGCACATATCCCCGAAAATCAAAACTGATATTCGCAGCCTGTGACATATGTTTTGTAGGTAATTTGGGGCGTAGAACACGATGGTGACATTCATTTTATCATATGTGTACGTGTTTGGCTCAAAAAGTTCAATTTAAGAAATGCATGTATCATGGTCGTGAAGTAGTCACGAAAAATTGCCAAGATTCAGTTCAAGATTATGGAAAATGCGGAACGATAATCAATAATCGAAGATAGCCATTTGATTGATCATGGTATTGGCAGTCTAATGGTGTTTACGGCATGTCTGTATATCTATTCTGTGATTTTATATGATTTTTTTTAACATATGCCGTTTTTGGTCGAAAACTCAGAAATCATGACGTCACTAAAACCTCGATATCTCAAAAATTTTCCGACCGATTTTTTTGAAATTTTGTCACAATAAACTTCAATATATTCCCTACAGGTACCCAAAATTTGGCGCGCCTGCGGCGCGCCGTTTTTATGGCTATGGCCCGGCGAAAAAAGTGGGGGCGTTTAACGCCCCCCCCCCCAGCAACTCGCGGGTTAACGACCGGAACAGCCTCCCACCATCCGTCGTAGACGCCGACTCTCTTAACTCGTTCAAGAACCGGCTCGACACTCACTGGAGACACCTCCACTTCACTCCACCCCTACCATACGAGCAGTAACACTGTCAATCACGAACTCGACTGGAGGGGACACTACAGGCCTTGGGCCTCTCAAAATT